TTTCCTCAGGGTCAGCACACAGAGGGGACCCGCACCTCTATTTCAAGCTGGAAGCAGGACTTGGTAACATGTAAGAGTCTCTTGCATGGTTCTGGTGTTGAAAGTGTGAAGGGGTCATAGAGAGCAGCTGAAGCTTGGCACTCTGAGAGGCCAGGAAAGGCCATAGGTGAAAGTGCAGCTTCAGTTACAGCAAAGACCCCAGAATTGAAGGGGTCATGAAGAAAAACTGAGGCTTTGCACCCCGAGGGAAGAAGAGGCCATTGGTGAAGGTGTGGCCTCAGTTTCAGTGGCAACCCCAGCTTTTTGGAGATGCTGGGACCATGGGACGACCACCAAGGACAGCGGCAGGTGTGGAATGGAGCTGACCTGGGTCTGCAAGATGAGCTGAGTGTGCTGTGGACTGCGGAGTCAGAGCAGTAGAGCTGCCAGTACCCTTTGGAGCCCAGAAAATCGTGAGTGAATCCCAGATGTCCAGCCTCGAGCTACTTTGCTGGACTTTGGTTTTGCTTAGGTATGCCCAATTCTTCCCTTTGAAATAAGACAGTACTTGTTTTGGATTTTACAGAAGCCCATCCACAGTTAAGAGACTATTAAAAGAGACTATGGACTTTTAAGTGTTTGGATTTTTTAAGGACTGTGGTGTTTTTAAGGTTATATTGCCTTGTGTTGTGATATTAATGTTAACATCATATCTTGGGGACAAGAATTAGAAAGGTTATGGTTTAATAGTGATGTGTTTGTCTGTCAAGTTGACAAGGGGTCAATTGTGCTGGATAGCTTTAGTGTCAATTTGACACATCTGGGTTGAAGGAGCCTCAATTGGGGAATTTCCTTCATTGGACTGGCTGTGGCCATCTCCATGGGGCACCTTCTTAATTGTTGAGTGATGTGGGAGGGCCCAGCCCACTGTGGGTGGTACCACCCCTGGGGAGCAAGCCTGTAAGCAGTGTTCCTCCATGGCCTGTGCTCCAGCTCCTGCCTCCAGGTTCCTGCCCTGAGTTCCTACCTTGGGCTCCATGATGAACTGCATGAGACCTGGGAGATATAAGACAAATAAACCCTTTCCTCCCCAAGTTGGTACTGGTCAGAGTGTTTTGTCACAGCAATGAAGAACAAACTAAGACACTGGGTTTTTGTCTGATTGAGTCAGCATGGGTCATGTGAATGCTGTCACTATTGGTGTAAGTTCATATGAGCAAGTTTCCAGTGGCCTGAAAGGCTCTGTTTCCTTATATTCATGCATCAACTCTGGCTCTTTTTATCTTTCTGCCCCCTCTTCCACAATGGTCCCTGAGCCATGAGTGGGTGAAGTTTAATATAGGAGTCTTATCCAGGGACACACACTCTGAAGTCTCTTATTCTCTAAAACTTGGCCAGTTTTGGCCTTCTGTGTGCATCACAGTCTGTTATATGATGAAGCTTCACTGGTAAGACTTGAGAGATGCATTAGTATTCTCTCTCTACCCTGTTTCACTATGTTCCGTGAGCCTTAGGTATAGAGAGTCTATTGTAGATGTGTCATTTAGGGCTGGGCATCTCTCAGACATATATTCTCTGTGTGTGACCAATTGTGGAACTCTGTAATAGCCTCCATCTTTTGCAAAAGATGCAGCCCCTTGTACTCTGCACATTGGCCAATTATGTGTTTTTATTTTAAAAAAATGCTGTTGCATAAGGAAACTTCTCTGGTGAGAATAGAGACGTGTTCATCCTATGTGTATAGGTCACAATGAAGATGTATCACTTAGGGTTAAGCATCTCAAAGATATCATACGATATATTTTGATCATATTTAGATCCTCTCCCATATCTACACCCTGCCTTTCTAGGGCCCCATGAAATTTCCATACTCTAATATGTATATATAAAGGCCTGTAGAGTAAGGTTGTGTCCCCAAAGCCCCGCAGCATGGGTTCATCCACTGGAGCCTGGTCAACCTACCAAGAGTCTCATGCTTAAATGATTCTGACTCTCCCCTTCCCATTGGCTGTCAGTACTTCCCCAAGTAGGGCTGGGGTTTCTTACTCACTTCCTCATATTTATGCTGTGATTTTTCTTCTGGATTGAGCTTATGTGGGACTTGTGTATGCTGTCACCACTGCTGTAAGTTCATATAAACAACTGAACAGCTGTCTGGAAAACTGTTTCCTTGTGGTCATCTACTTCCTCTGGCTCTTAAAATCTTTCTGCCAAGATTTATTTATAATTATGTGTATGTTCAGGGCAGAGAAGAGGTATGTGTACATGTGTACAGATGCCTGCTGGGGCCAGAGTTACAGGTGGCTGTGAACTACCTGACATAGGAGCTGGAAACCTAACTTGGGTCCTCTGCTAGAGCAGCAAGCCTCTTAACTACTGAGCCATCTCTCCAGCACCCACAGTGGAGTTTTATTTGTAATAAAGAAGAAAAAAAAAATCACAGACGCTGTGGCACACACCTTTAACCCATGTGCTCAGGCGGCAGAGGCAGGCTGATCTCTGTGAGATCATAGCTACCCTGGTCTACATAGAGAATTCCAGGCAAGCCAGAACTACAGGGAGACCCTGTCTCAGAAAAACAAAAGAAAAGGGGGAAAAATCAGTTCTGTCAGACCACTTGTTTACTGTGTTCTAGCTGGATTTAATCAAGTTTCCCTCATCTCAACCTGTGTCCCCCAGGGTTCCACCAGGCCTCAGCCAGCATCATCAACAGAGTCAGGACAAGCAGTCCTGCCACGCCCATCCTGATGGAATTTCCCAAGGTGTAATCCTGGAAAACAGTACCTGGGGGAGAAGCAGAGACTTATGAATGAGTCAGGCCCACCCATCACAGGAGCTCTGAAATGCAGCCCTTGCCTGCCTGCTTTGACAAAATTTTTCCTGTCCAGAGACTTCACATTATCCTTGCATCACTATGAGTTTGTGGTGATAACTCTGTCATTCATCCATCCCTGGAGAGTCTCCTTTGAAATGCCTAGTTTATGCCTAGCAAGTATCTTTCAGCCCCTGCACAGGACTGTTGTGAGACCTCATCCCTCCCCACACCAGTCTGCTCACTCTTAGAGGCTTGTGACTACACTGTTGGTGAACACAGGTGTGGAGAGAAACTCAGACCCGGTCACGTTTTCTCCCCTGGGTGTGTCTTTTCACCCACGCTTCCTTTTTCATTGTTTCCTAGACAACAATAGTCTACACTTCTTTCAAGTCTGATAAGAGGACACAGAGGCACAGTCTCATCTAGTTGCCTCGCGAATATTCAGGATTCATTTTTCTCTCCCTCCAATATGAGTTCTGGGAAGTCTTCTAGAGTTCCACCTCCAGGGTTGAAATCTGAGTGACTGCCAGGCTGACATGAACTACAGGGTTATGTTCAAGGGGCAAACTTAGAGATAAGGCAGGCAAGGAGAGGGAGGGGTCACAGATCCAGTAACTGGTCACCTATGAGGAATCTGCAGACCCTTCCAAGGTGTTCACGGACTTCCTGTGTCCCCCACCTCCTGAGCTGAGCATTCCTGACACTTACCTGGAGTGAAATTCAAGGGATGGGTGGAGCTGATGCCTAGGGTGAAAGTCAAAGGGTGGGAAGAGCTCGTGTCATCAGGACCTGAGAGGAGGAAACGGAGGGAAGGTGAGCTCTTGAGTCTCCTATAGCAATTCGCAGCCCATCTCTTTCTTCTGAGATTTCCCCCATGAACTTGACAGTTAATGTATTTATAAAGTGACTTTTCTATAAGGACATTCATGAGCATTTCTGGACCCTGCGTGCTCACGGCCTCCTTTGGTTGCTGTGTATAGTTGTCATTCTTTGAAAAGTTCATCTGGTATATGAATTTTACCACCGTGATGGGTTTGGCAACGTGGTAGATGAAACCAGACTGAGCAATAATCCAGTCTCCATCACACTTAGCGATCAGAAGAATTATAGTTTTTTCTGTTTTGTCTGATCTTCTTTGCAGATTGGCGAAACAATGAGATGCTGGTGACTTTCTGTGGCTCATCTCTGTGTCTACATATTTCACTCTCTATAGAAGTGCGAAGATGCGTTTTTTTGAGTTAGGAAAGGTGATTGTGTAGCTCTCCACTCTCCTCAGCCTTATTCGCCAATACATTTAACTACAAAAATGTAAATTAAAATATTTTTAATTTTTACCTATTTATTTTTTACATTTTATGTGTATGAGTATTTGCCTACATGGACGTATGAGCGCCACATGCACGCAATGCTGGCAGAGGTCAGAAGAGGGCACTGGATCCCCTGGGACTGGAGTTATGGATGGTTATTAGCCACAGTAAGAGTGCTGAAAACCAAACCGGGGTCTTCTGGAAGCGCAGTCAGAGTTCCAGCATTCCAAACCTCTGAGCCATCTCTTCACCCCCTACACATGTGTTTTAAAACCATTAACGTATTTGTTTTTACCATGCTGGGGATCAAGCCTGAGGTCTGCTTGTACATACCAGGACAATGCTGTACAAAGGAGCCACACTCAGGGACCCTGCCTTTTTTATGTACTGCTTCCTGGACATGTGATCCCTCGTGTGGACTGGGTTCATCTCTGTATGGTTACAATTTTATTTGTGTAATGTGAAAGTGAGCACTATTTTCTGCCTATTTAGCACCTATCAAGATCTCAGCTCTTCCTGGTCTTCTCAGCCACTCTAACTCTCCTGTGGAAACTGTACCATTCGCCCACATAGCGCCATCTTTGTATAATCCTCTCAGGCCTCTGATGCTTAGGGCTTCTGTCTCCCACTGACAGTCATTCCTTCCAGTTCTCCTCTCTTTCTTCCTCTGAGTCTCTCAGACACAGAGGTGTGTGTGAGCACCTGTGCATGTGTGTATGTGTACATGTATGTGTATGTGTGTGGTGTGTGTGTGATATGAGTATGTATGTGTTAAAGAGTGTGTGAATGTCTATGAGTGGTAAGAGTGTTTAAGTGTGTGTGTGAGCATATGTATGTGGGTGAATATGTGAGTGAGAATGTGAGTGTGTACATGTGCATGTTTGAGAGTATGTATCTCCGTGTGTGGTATGAATGTGTGTGTGAGATTGGGTGTGCTGTGAATGTACATAAATGTGTGTGAATGTGTATGCATTTATGAGTGTGCATGGGAGTCCATTAGTGTGTGTGAGAAAGTATGTGTGTGTGTGTTTGTGGTGTGTGTGCATCCATCCTCTGGCTCACTTGACACCACTTGTCTTTGCTGGATCTGTCCATGTGGCTTTCTCTTCAAGTCATCTGATCACATCTGTGATTATTTTGGAAGATGCACTTGGAAGCCAGTTTGGAGAGGTAGAGAAGCCAACATGCAGGGACGGGTGTTTTGCTCCTCACCCAATACTAGAACATTAGGAGCCAGTTATGGCTCAACCACAGGAAGGAAGACGTGTCGCGCTAAGGACAGCATCTGCAGGTGCACTTACACTGAAGTCTCAGAACTCGAGGGGACTAGCATGAGACAGCACAGCACAGCCCCAAAAGATACAGGATGTGTGTGTTTTTCCTGGTCAACAAGACAGATGAGGCAAGGTGGAGACGCAATTTCTGAACCAACCAAGCCTGACACAGTCGAGTGTGAGGATCTTGTCTCTGATCCACATGTGCTTATCCCATGATTCTCCATTGAGTCCATTCATATCACCCCTTTATTCCCCATATGTGCATTTCTCACACAATGGCCTTCACTTGAGTCTCCATATCACTGTGTCTTGTCACTAAAACCCTTACAAAGGCTGTTTCCCTACACACTCACCCAATGCTTTTCATCCTCCCAACCTCTCAAGGATTCCCAATTCTAGACTCTCTGATCTGTATATGAATGAGGGGAAAGAACAGGTATAAACATTCTCACCTGTGACCACCATGTCCAGGGGGTCACTGGGATCTGACCACACGTAGGGCTGGTGACTGAAAGAGCCATAGCATCTGTAGGTCCCAGCATGTGCAGCAGTCACAGGAGCTCTGGAGATGTTGACCTGAGAGCACCCATCATAAGGCTCCCCCAAAACAAGCAGGAAGTCCTCCTTGTTTACCCCCTGTCTGTGCAGAACCAGAAGGAAGACCTCAAACACAGTCTCTGAACAACACTGCAATGTCATCATCCCTCCTGATTTCACTGGGGCAGCTGGTAGGGCCGAGAGGGAGGGCTTGCTGTACAGTCCTGAGAACAAAAAGTTTGTGAGTATGGCAGCCTCCCTTCCTCACCCCACTTCCTGGGAACTAGGGTAACAGGATCCCACACACACCCTGTCTTTCTTTTCTCGGTGTCCCCACGTTCTCTTCTGTCTGTCTCCCTACTTACAGACCTTTCCGTATTTTGCTAATTCTGTATCTGGATGTACCAGACTCCATCCCACTGGGCTTGTCCTGAACAAGTGACAGCTGCTGTCGTCTAGGCCAGACCTCCTTTCCATTTTCTATGTTAAGGTGAGAATAAAGGACGTGGCACGCTGGGCTTCAAGCTTTCTTTGGGGCCCATTTCTTGTTCATTCAGGGAAAGTAGAAGCTCTGACAGAATTTGAAAACAGCAGTATCAGCAGCAACAGAAGCTCCCCAGGCCCCAATTCTGATCCTGCATTGGTTCTCTTCTCAAGCCTAGGTCCTTTCTATGGTCTCAGCTCACAGAGAGCAGCTCTGAGTCTGGACCCGTGAACATCATCCTCTCCCTGCCTGGTGGCAGCATCAGCATCTTGGTCTACTCTCTGGCCATCACTTCCCTTCCCCCTTTCTGACTGACTTCTTGATGTGTCCTTGGCCTGGATATGTTGTTGGTTGCTATATGCTACTGTAACAAAGGACCACAAAAGTGGTACTAGAAAAAAAATACAAATGTGTTATCTTAGAGTTCTGGAGGTCAGAAGACTGAAATGAACCCCCTGTCCTGAGCTCCATGCCTCAAGTCCTGCACTTCTCCGAAGGCTTCAAGAGGAGAATCTATTTCTCTTTCTGTTCCATATTATAGAAGCCTCCTACAGTCCACGGCTTGTGGATACTTCCTTCAGCTTCAGAGCCAGAAATATGGAGTCCATCTCATACTGCCTTGCTATGAGGGTTAATATTGTCTTTTTGATATTTGAGATGCTGTAGTTACTATAATATACCTAAAATCCAATATATTCTCTCCGTCTCAAGGTACCCCAAGTACTAAAGGGTTAATTCAGCTCATACTTTGGGAAGCTGAAAGCCCACAGCCAGGCAGCGCCTGGCAAGGGTGTCCTTTGCTGTATCACAGAATGGTCAAGGAGCAGACAGGAAACATCCAGGCATATCAAGGACCACATGCATTGTGTAGCCTTGTTTTATAACAACACACTCCAGTGAGAATTAGCCAGGGTCTCAGGAGGAGACCATTAGTATCTCCTGAGCACAGTGTCCCTCATGACCTAATTCATCATCTCACATTAAGCCCCTGCTCTTAAAGATCCCTCTAAGACAACACATCCACCCTTGGAGCAAAGATTTCAGCACATGAACCTACAGTCGGTGGGGGGAATTCACAACCAAACCATTGCACTGCATGAAGTCACAGGTTCTAGGGACGACAGTATGTATATTGTTAAGGGAACACGGTCCTGCCTGCCAGCGCCCAGTGCCCTATTCTGCAGTCTCTACTACCAGAGACACTTGCAGGTGTTCCCGTTGCTCTGGAACCTTAGTTGACAGTCTCACCCAAAATACCTGCATTAGAAATGTTGGGGCAGTGGGGAGCTGAGAGGTGGCTCAACGGTTAAGAGCACTGGCCACTCTTACCGAGGACATGCGTTCAGTTTCCAGCGCCCACGTGGTAGCTAAAAACCATTCTAACTTCAGTTCCAGGGCCTCTGGCGCCCTCTTCTGGCCTCCATAGGCACAGAACTGTACTACCAAGCACAGCATGGGTGAACTCACATAAATCCAGGCAACACATAAACACATAAAATAAAAATAAGCTAATTTTTTAATGTAGTTAAAGAAATGTTGGAGAACAGGGGAGGTCTCTGTCATTTTAAGATCCTGGTCTTGGGAAAACTGATTCTCTAGAATGGACCTTCCACCTCCCCAGAGGCCCATCTGTGGTCCTCACTCGGCATGTGGTCCTGGGCATCCAGGCCTTGATGTTGGACCTCACCCATTACCAAGCACCAGGAGGTTTTGCATCATTTTCTATACCCCTTGTACAGCCCCAGAATGCCTTCACCTATGCCCTAATTGAACTTCTGGAGATAAAAGCCACACTCTGAGCAGTTAAAAAAGAAATAGTATTGCAAAAGTTAAACTGATATAATTCTCAAACTAAAAATATGTAATTATATCTTAGACTATAAATTCTCAGTTCTATATGTCTACTATAATTTTTTAATATTATTTACTGACAAAACTGTACTACCAAGCTTTAACAATAAAGTAAAATTTGTCACTGTTAGGCCAGGCGTGGTGGCGCATGCCTTTAATCCCAGCACTTGGGAGGTAGAGGCAGGCCGATCTCTGTTCAAGTCCAGCCTGTTCTACATAGTGAGTTCCAGGACAGCTGGGGCTACAGGGAGACCCTGACTCAAAAAGACCAAAAAAAATTTGTCACTGTTCCTGTGATGTGTTTGCCATTCACCCCCTTTCCAAATTCTCCACCTATACAAAGTCTTTCAATGTAATCATGTTACTTCTTAAAGAAGGCATGCCTTTAATCCCAGCACTCGGGAAGCAGAGGCAGGTGGATCCTCTGTGAGTTCGAGGCCAGCCTGGTCTCCAGAGTGAGTTCCAGGCGGCTGGAGCTACAGAGAGACCCTGTCTCAAAAAGACCCAAAAAAAAGAAAGAAAGAAAAAAGAAAAGAAAGCCATGCTATCCAGGGACCTCACCCCTCCACAACTCAGCGACCACTGCAGAAGAGGGGGTGGTTGTAAACACCAGGGTTGGTCCATGAACATAGGGAAGCAGAGGCTTTCAGGTCACTGGAAGCTTGCTCATGTGAACTTACAGCAGTGTTGACATTGAGCATAAGACCCATGCCAACTCAACAAACAAAGACCCAGGGTCTTTGTTTGCAGTGGAAGGCTGGCCCTTGTCTGGCAACTGGGTGAGGGAGAGAAGACCTTCTTTAAGGTCTCTAGATAGGCTGACTAGACTTCAATGGATGAACTTACACCAAAGGACATCTGGGTCCAAATGCTGGACCAAATAGGATTTAACACGTATGACAGAATGCATGAGGTCTGGTGGTGGGGGCAGATATGGGGGAGGGGATCTAAACTTGATTACTGTTCTAGGAAATGTACCGAAGCTCAATAAAAAAAATTTAAAGCAATGCAAATAAAATATTTTTATACTTAAAAAAAGGAAAAATGTTGGGACAGCAAAGAATACCTTTGGACTGGAGCTTTCTTACCTGTGACTATGATCTTCAGGGGGTCACTGGGTGATGACAATCCATAAGGGGAGTTAGAGTAAAACCCTTGACATCTGTAGGTCCCCGCATGTGCTGGAGTCACAGGGCCCATGTCAAAGCTGTGCTGGAATATGATGCTGTGGGACTCAGAAATGTGGGCTCCGTCTTCCTTGAACAGACGGAATATTTCAAACCCAAGTTGAGATTGACACTGAAGAGTCACAGTGTCTCCAATGGAAACCATGAGACTTGGCCAGGCAGTCAGTGTGGGCTTGTCAGAATCCCCTGTCGGGAGAGGATGGTCCAGCCTTAGAGAAGAAGAGGTGGAGCTGCCTCCTCTGTCTCAAGAGCAGTCAGCTCAGCATTTCTCCTTATTTACATGCCCCTAAGGTTCCTTCTAAATCATGAGTGCCCAGGATTAAATAATAGCACCATCCCCCACATTTAAAAATGTCAGCTGAGACTTAGGAGCAAGTACTGTATAATGGGTTCAATGCATTATGAAAATAAGTTACATGTAAAAAAAGTAGACAGCCAACAGAGGTCAAAATCCTTGACAATGAAATGACATGAGAAAGTCATTAGACAAGTCTGCATCAGAATATTCTGGAATTCCTCCAAGATTCTCCCACCATTTTGAGTACAATAACACCTGCACTAAGTGCCCTGTCATTGTGGACGTGCTGGGTAGCGTTCGTCCCCATCTAGTCCTGCGAGGAGGTACTGTTCCAGCTCCTCCTCATCGAATCTTTCCCTATTTCACAGATAACACCATTTCCCCTAGACATCTGGGACTCCTCTAGTCTCATCCAGTTCCCCAAGCTGTTTGGGTCAGCCAAGAAAAGAGTAGCTGGGGTGTCTGGGAAAGAATTAGAGACCAGAGTTGCAGGTCCACTTTTCAGTTTACAAGAGATTTCACTCACAGGTCTTCCCCTTAGTCCACAAACCAGCCCAATCCCGTGCTGTTTGCCTTCCTATTAAGGAAAATTCTCTATATTGGGGGTGTCTGGCAACCCATACTTTGGATGCTGACTCACCCAGTTGTGCCCAGGTCCTCTGGAACAGGAAGAACCCTGAGGAGAAAGACTCATGATAGATAATCAACATACCCATACTTTGGATGCTGACTCACCCAGTTGTGCCCAGGTCCTCTGGAACAAGAAGAACCCTGAGGAGAAAGACTCATGATGACCAAAAGCCTGGTCAGTGAAGATAAATCCAGGCACCAGTGCCCACCACCCACAGAAGCCAGGCTATTTGTACTTTGTTCTCTGCATCCTCCATTCCCAGCAGCACTCACCAGGACACGCCAGGCTGAGGAGCATGGGCAGCATGGTGTTGCTTGAGCAGACAGGAAACAGAACCACAGCAAAAACACACAGGATATCTTCAGGGGGCCCGACTCATCTGGTTTGCCAGTTGACCACAGCACAGAAAGGAGATGCCTGTCATCCCCTCATCCTTGCATGTAGCTCATAGGTGATGAAATTGTCTGACTCCAAGTCATGTTAATTCAGAATCATCAAGTGAGTAATTGCATCAAATTCCTCTTTCTTGGAATCATCAAATGAGTAATTGCATCGATTTTTTTATATTTTGATGTTTTTATCCAATATTCAGTCTTCATATGTAACGTACATACATTAAATGAACACTGTTAATAGTATAATAATCACAACATGTAAATCAAAATTATTTTCTTTTTTATTTTTATGTGTATGAGTGTATTTTCTTTTTTATCTTTATGTGTATTGCCTGCATGTATGTGAGTGCACCTGTGTTGTGCAATGCCGCAGAGGTCAGAAGGGGGCTTTGGATTCCCCTGGAACTGGAGTTAAGGATGGTTCATAGCCGCCATGTGGGTGCTGGGAATATAACCTAGGTCCTCTGCAAGAGCAGTCAGTGCTCTTAGCCACTGAGCCATCTCTCCTGCCCCCAAAATTATTTTCTATATTGTTATTTCTAGATTGCTTCAGATTATTTCATTTCCCATTCAGCTCATGATGTAGTTATTTCGATTCATAAAATTCTGTTTCTTTCAATCTCTGTCATTTACTTTATGCTGCACAGTTGGCCAATCTGAACAGCTTGCACCCTAGATCAATAAACAAACCCAGCCTATTTTGTGACATACTATAATAAAGTGAAATTTCCTAATAAAGGAGAATAAAAAGAAATGGAAAAAAAAGAATTTACAAACTAATCAGATTTAAAGCTACTACTGAGATTCTCCGTCTCTGCCTTTTTTCCAGCCAGTTCAGCAGACACGGGGGGCCTGCTCTGACAAACCATAAAACACCCTGAGCACTTAGCATAAGGATGCTCAGTTAATGAGCCAGATGCTATGACAGTGGTGAACCTGTGTCCAAGTGGTGTCATAATTCGACTACTAACAAAATTCCATTTTTGAAACCAAAAAAGCAAAACATGCATACTTGAGGATTTACAGCATTATCTGTAATTTGTTTTACGACCCTGTAATCCACTTCTTATTCTCTCTCTCCCTCTCTCTTATCCTTCCATATCTCTCATGTCTTTTCTCTGTTTCTCACATTATATTACATATTAACATCCCACTACCCATTAGCATAATAAGAGGACATTGATATTCCAAACAGTAGTTTATTTTTTAATATTCTATTTGATGCTTTTATTTTATGTGTATGAGTGTGTTGCCTGTATGTATGTAAGTGCATCCATGTCATGCAATGTCCACAGAGGTCAGAAGAGGGCTTCGGATTCCCCTGGAACTGGAGTTAAGATGGTTGTTAGCTGCCATGTAGGTGCTGGGAATGAACCCAGGTGCTCCACAAGAGCAACTAGTGTTCTTAACCACTGAACAGCTCTCCAGCCCCCAGTAGTTTATGAGAGATCTTGTTGATTAAACCATGTGATCATCTGCAATACTTAGTATTGTAAAACTTATCATTATTATCTTTTAAATCAAAATGTTACTATACTCTTTACCATGTGCATTTTAAATTATTAAAAGACTAATACAGAGAAGCTGTGCATAGTTCATTTATACAACTAAGTTTAGTCATGTACACACTTGTGAATTCATCACCACAAATTATGATATTAATATATACATGATCTCAAAAAGTTTTCTCCTGT